TGCCCCCTCCTTCTGACAAGCATCAAGACGCTGTGTCCAGTCGTTCCTGCCGTCGTGTACATTGTTCCACAGACACGACGCCCCAGCACATCAAAGTCGTCATTTCTCACGGTAACTTGTCATCCAGTCTTCAGATGTTACCTGACACCGGTGCTGACGTCTCAGTAATTGGTCCACAACACTTAGCAAGTTTGGGAATACCCGGGAGCAACCTACAGCCCCCTCCTCAGACAACGAAACTGACAGCTGATGGTTCCAAGATGGCTCCAGCTTTGGGATCTTTCTGGGCTACCCTTACCTTTGGTAAGCAGTCTTGCTCGGCCCGGATTGATGTTCATGATGGTATCCCGACTCCGCTTTTATCATATGGCCATTGTCAAGAGTTGGCCATTATTTCCAAGGAATTCCCTAAACCTATTTTAAAGATCACCCATGTCAACAGGTTGAAGGAATTCCCTATCTCTACTAACACGTCCCCTTCTGACGCAAGAGCTTACCTTCTCAAGGAGTTTGCTGACGTGTTGGTTAATAAGAAATCTTTAGGATCCACACCACTCAAGCCGATGGTGGGTCCACCTATGAAGATTCATCTTAAGGATGGTGCTACACCTTTTGCCATCCACACCCCTCGTTTGATTCCTCACGCCTACAAGGAGCAAGTTAGACAAGAGCTTGACTCCATGGTTGCTCAGGGAATCATCAAGCAGGCCGGAGACGAACCTTCACCTTGGTGCCACCCTCTCGTCCCCGTCGCCAAACCTCGTGGTGGAGTACGGATCACCACCGATCTGTCAAAACTTAACCAGCAAGTTTCCCGTCCAGCCCACCCTTCACCCACACCCTTCTCAGCTGTTCGAAGTGTGGACCCGAAGGCGAAGTTTTTTACAACTATGGACGCCTTATGTGGTTATTGGCAGATCGAGTTGGCCAAAGAAGACCAGCATTTGACCACATTCATCACACCATATGGAAGATACCAGTATTGCAGAGGCCCCATGGGATTTGCCGCTACGGGTGATGCATTCTGTCAACGTGGTGACGCAGCCCTTCAAGGAGTCACGAATTGTGTCAAGGTGGTTGATGATATCTTACTCCATGACGATGACTACTGTGCCCACCTCTCCCGGATATACGAAGTTCTCACCAGATGTCGAAAGTACGGGATTACCCTCAACGCTGACAAGTTTGTAGTCGCCGCTCCATCAGTGAACTTCTGTGGGTACACTCTCTCAGCATCAGGCATCGCAGCTGACCCGGAGAAAGTGAGTGGAATCAGGGATTTTCCAACTCCTGCCAACCTGACAGACCTCCGTTCTTTTTTGGGTCTGGTCAATCAGCTGGCTGAATTTACACCTGACATCTCCGCCGCAGCCCAGCCGTTACGCCCCCTGCTGAGCCCCAGGAGGACATTCCTGTGGACCCCAGATCATCAAGAGGCTTTCCAGCGAGTCAAGCAGGCCCTCGTAAGTCCACCTGTCCTCGCCTGTTACGACCCAGCCCTACCCACCGTCCTCCAGACTGACGCCTCCAGACTCTACGGCGTTGGTTACGCCCTTCTGCAGGACCATGGCGGTGGACAACTCCGCTTAATTCAGTATGGATCCCGGTTCCTGACCGACGCTGAGACCAGATATGCCACGATTGAGCTGGAGATGTTGGCTGTTGTCTGGGCGATGGCGAAGTGCCGCTTCTACCTGATAGGAATTCAGCACTTCACCCTCTTCACGGATCATCGCCCTCTTATACCTATAATCAATCACTACTCTTTGGATGCAGTAGAGAATCCTCGCTTTCAACGTCTGAAAGAGAAGCTCTCGCCTTATCTCTTCACGGCTGTGTGGCGTGCGGGTAAGCTGTTGTGCATCCCGGATGCCCTGTCCCGCGCCCCTGTCAGTCGCCCCACCCCAGAGGACGAGATGTTGTGTTCTACAGCTGCTGCATCCCTCAAGTCAGTAGTTTCATTGAAGGCCGTCTTCACATCAGAAGAGTCTACAGCACCGGATGCAGACAAGACCCTTGAAGATCTCCGCACCGCAGCCCGGGCCGACCTTTCCTACTTCCGGCTCGTCGACTGTGTGTCTCAGGGATTTCCATCTAACCGATACGACCTTCATGAATCGCTACTCCCGTACTGGAAAATACGCGAGGACCTCTATTGTGACGGAGACCTTGTCTTGTATGGTCCACGAGTAGTTATTCCTGCTGCCCTACGCCACCGTACCTTGACCCGCCTTCACGACAGCCATCGAGGAGTGGAGGCCACCAAGCGACGGGCGAAGCAGACTGTATTTTGGCCCGGAATCGACGCGGACATTGCAAGTACCGTCCGTGCCTGTGAACCATGCCAGATTCTGCAACCTAGCCAGCAACAGGAACCTTTAATGTGCGACGACTACCCTTCAAGACCCTTCGAGTCTGTGTCGGCCGATTTCTTTGCAGTAGCAGGGAAGTCCTTCCTCGTCAATGCCGACCGATTGTCTGGATGGCCTGTTGTCGTCCCCTGTGGTAGTGATACAACGGCTACTGCTACCATCCGGAACTTCAGGCATTACTTCAGAGAAGTTGGTGTTCCCCTCCGCCTCAGGACTGATGGAGGACCCCAGTTCACCAGCCTCGAGTTCCGGGACTTCATGGACCGTTGAGGAGTCCGACATGTCGTAACCTCGCCCCACTACCCCCAGGCGAATGGACACGCTGAAGCCGCAGTCAAGACTGTGAAACACCTGATCCTTAAGGTGTCACCCTCAGGAAATATCGACTGCGAGGACTTCGATCGAGGTTTGTTGGAGTTACGCAACACTCCCAACTTCACCAGACGCTCCCCAGCCCAGGTTCTATACGGACATCATCTCAGGTCTTGTGTTCCTGCCCACCCGAAGTCTTTTTCTCAAGAGTGGCAGGCCAAGACTGAGGAATGTGACCGCCGTGCAGCAGAACGAGCCGCAGATGTCGCTGCTCGGTACGACTGTCATGCCCGCCCCCTTCCCAGGTTGAGTATCGGCCAGCAGATCAGGATTCAAGATCCGGTATCTCACCGCTGGGACAAGGTTGGGGTTGTCATGGGTATTGGCCCGTCCAGGGACTACCAAGTGCGTCTTCCTAGTGGTAGAGTATGGTGGAGGAACCGTCGTTTCCTCCGACCTGTGGAGCTGCCTAGTGTTGACCCTTCCCCAGTTGAGTCCCCTAATGTTGATGTCTCTAAAGTAAATCCATCCCCACCTTGTGTTTCTGCCCCAGTATTCCGCAGGTCCGAGCGACTCAGAAACAAAAGGTCCGCTCAAGATGAAGCTATGAGCGTATAGGAGGGAGGGAGGTGTATGATATGGACACAAAGTAGTACCTTCAGCTGTGTATTATTATATTACTCTTATATTACTCCATTAATTATGTATAGTAAAGTATTACAGAACATGTATTAATTCTATGTAATTTTCCCATTTATTGTGCACCATATTATGTATATAAATTATCATATTTACATTGTATGTATTCAGCTTGTGAATGCTGGCATCTGTACATCCCAGCGCGCAGTAATACATAGATAGATAGAGAGTGAAGACAGAGTCCTTGTGGTGTGGACGCGAGCTCCTGGGTCCTTCTGTATATATATATATCTCCCGTACGAGAATAGAATCTACTTTTAAGATAACAAGTGTTTGTGTATACCCTCAGTAGTATAGAACATTTTGTGGGTATTCAAGACAAACGTCAGAGTAATTACAAAATTAAAATTGCAACACAAAATATGAAGAAAAAAATTAATGAGATGTTAGAACCGCTCTAGAAGTTATGAAAATACTGAAAATGAGATTCGGAAATACACAAGAAAAAAAATAAAATTTAAGAATTTGCGATATTATTGCATGTATATACACGAAAAAGAAAACATTGTTTTAAGCTGATTTGTAACACAAACAAGACAAATGCCAAAAGACAGTTTGGATGTAATGAAAAATATCATGGTGACATAATTAATAACTAAAAAGCTAATTTAACCAGCTATAACTTCTCATAAGCATTTGCAAAGTAAAAGAAGCAGCCTACTTTCAAAATAAATCTTCCTTACTTTCATTCCTGCAAATTCTTCTATCCGTTCTTAATAGCACAAACATGCTGCCAGTTCCTTTTTGATGGAGAGGCAGATAGCATAGCCAGTCCACTCATCCATTTAGAAACTGAAAGACTTGAAGTGTATTTTTTATTTCTATGTGAATGTATTCTTCGAGTACTCAAAGCTCTGAAAACAAATCGGCTTCCTAAATATCTTGAAATTTTCCAACAGAGTTGTGCTCAGCTAGGTACTGCACAGCTGCTATAATAGGTGTTAGAACCTATTGCCAATGTTCCTTTTTTTTATTCAAATTTTGTAACATGAGTGTATCTATTGTTTTCATTGAACTCAACCTTCTTTTCACCTCCATCCATTTGGTTAAGTTGAATAAGTGTTCACTGATGACTCATGAAATTTTATTCTTTCACGAAAATGATTCCAATCAGCACAGGCTTCTTTTATTAGTTCATGTGCTGCTTTTGAACTGTATAATTACTAACTAGGAGAGCGTGAGGCCACTAGGAGCACGAAGCCCGGGACACCCCCCCCCCCCAGGGATCTGCTTGCCTCTCACTTGATTCTCATATTTTTGTTATTGCTGTTAGCTACTTCGCTCCCTACATCGATATTAATAATGAAGTGGGTTCGGTTATATGTTGACTTAGGAAACAGTCTTGAACTGTTTCAAGGAAATCCTCTGATTCTGGGGTACCCTTAAGGTTAGTCGAATCGATTTAAATAAAGTTAAAGTAACCTGTTACACAGACTTTGCTATGTCTGGATGCCCTACGTTTTTCATCCCAAATAAGTTGCCCACCAACCCTATCAAGATTAGGAGGTCTATATACTGTATTACTTCCATGATTAATTATTCCTTACCATCGGTAAATTCTATCCATAAATCATTCACAGGACATAAAGGTGACAGATACAAGAAAGTCGTACGTACATCTGCAGCAGTTATTTTCACCAAGGGCTTCTCCGTCGTCATGATGTTGTTGGCTCAGCTCCAAGTGTCTGTGATACCGACCAACTTGGCTCTGACTACTGCAAGATGGCGGTGCTGGTGGGTGTGTAGAGGAGGGGTTTAGAGGGAATTGTGAATACACAGTACACCGAACTAACGGGACAAATTCATTACGATAGGGCAGAGTCAAAATATTCTTAAGTGTAGTAACTTGTCTGGTCCCTCAAGCTTCTAAATATTAATGTTGTTTTCAAGTATGACTCAACCATTACCAATATGTTAATAAGAAATAGCCCAAGTTTGAATGTAAATGGAAGTGTTTATTGTATTCCATGTAGCAAATGTAATTGTAATTATGTAGGACAGACAGGAAAAACACTGCAGCTCAGAATCAAACAACATAAGTATAATATCAGAACTGCATCTGAAAGCAGTGCCTTGTTCGTTCATGTTAGGAATAATAATCACCCCATTGCTTGGGAAAAAAGCTTAGAAGTATTCAAATCATCTTGTGTCACAGAAAGACTTCTGGTTGAAGCTAGTTTGATTAAGGAATTAAAATCAATAAACCTTAGTGATGGTCAGTTCAAAACTGATAATATGTTACATAAATTTATTTGTCAGTGGCCCAAGGTTAAAAATGCTTTGAAAACCTTTGATCTAGATGTATGATAGTTATTTTGTGGGTCCCTTATTTCTGACCTGACCTGGCTAGTCACGTCACCACCCTTCTCTTAAGCTCCTCTACGTGTGTGTTGGTGTGGGGATTAGTGGATGACATCATTATGACCTGACCTCATGTTTTTAAGGTCACCCTGTATATTTAAGCCTCTCTCTGTCCATGTAATCCAGTTGCCTCTGAAGATGTCTTGAATAAAGACGAAAGCTAAGGTACTCCGTTGTTTCCATTTTCCCGTGTGATTTTATCAAGATTTATCTTATCCACGTTTTCATTGTGGATTTACATGAAATATATATATATATATATATATATATATATATATATATATATATATATATATATATATATATATATATATATATATATATATATATATTAGATTAAAATTCTTTACATTACACAAGTTGACTAGTCATTACACGAAATGGCTAATTACTCACTTTGACTGTAACATAAATACTACATTTTCTGCCAACGGATCAAATTCTTAAAGATACTTTCCTTTTCTCAGCAGTATTAAAGTTCAAAGAAATTTTGACAGACTTTCGGTATTACTATTATACCATTGTCTAAATTCCGTGTCAACATCTCCTTAGTTTGTGAAACCCTAAAAAAGGTTTACTTAATGTCTACCGGAAAAGTGTATGAACTTCCTGATAATTCTTCCCTAAAATTATCACTCTCATTAACTTCTGACAGAGCTGTTGTCCTCACAGCCTCTTCTTCCTCTTACCTTGACTGATCTATCCAGCTCCGAGATGACGAGTGATGAGAAGCTCGTCATCCCCTCCACCTTTTATACCGGTAGATCGTTAGATATCTCTCCTGACGAGGTTTTAACAATGTAACAGTGCGATGATGCCTGTCACTTATGCAAACTTTCTCTCGGTCCATCTGTCACATTTCCATAAATATTTGTATATTGGTGAAAACTAGAGTAGTGATCATCTTCTCATCATGAGATTCGCTATTTGTAAATTTTGCATGTGCAAACCCCGTGTTGTCAGATTTTCCATGTGAGATTGATTGATTGAATATTTACATTGTTTTGTTTTTTTATATATTGCGTCCGGACTATTTCTTTCAAGGGTTAAAGTTAATTAGTACAAGACTTAATTTATGCTGTAACCGGTACGTTTCTTTGGTTATTTAGTTTTTTATTCAAGTAATGATGTAATAAAATTCTGTGTGTGTGTGTGTGTGTGTGTGTACTTGTGAGTTTGTGTGTATCTAACCGCACTTATATTTTTTACTGCATTCAAATATTTGTATGTACATAAATATAAATTACATACAAAAAAAAATAAAATAAAATAACTGACGTTAGCCCGGGATTAGCTGATATATAAATCTGCAGCACTATTTAATAACTGTTGAATAGTCTGAAATAAGCCTCGTAATGTGTACTGTAAGTAATACTGCACAGAGCCAAGTCTTTGTATTGAGATATTTCATGGTGGGTGTTTTGTTGGCACACCTGAGACCCATTCCTGTCAAAAACGAAGCAAGTTAGACAGGTATCCCCAACATTAATGCAACAGATATCATCACCATTAATACAACAGGTATCCTCACCATGAATATAAGAGGTATCATGACCATTAATACAACAGGTATTCTCACCAATAACACAACAGATATCATCACCATTAATACAACAGGTATCCTTACCATTCATAAAACAGGTATCATCACCGCTAATACAACAGGTCTCATCACCATTAATACAACAGGTATCATCACCATTAATACAATGGGTATCATCACCATTAATACAACAGGTATCCTCACCATTAATACAACAGGTATCATCACCATTAATACAACAGGTATCATCACCATTAATACAACAGGTATCATCACCATTAATACAACAGGTATCATCACCATTAATACAAAAGGTATCATCACTATTAATACAATGGGCATCATCACCATTAATACAACAGGTATCCACACCATTAATACAACAGGTATCATCACCATTAATACAACAGGTATCATCACCATTAATACAACAATTATCATAACCATGAATACAACAGGTATCATCACCATGAATACAACAGGTATCATCACCAATAATTCAACAATTATCCTCACCATTAATACAACAAGTATCATCACCATTAATACAACAGGATCATCGCCATTAATACAACAGGTAGCATCACCATGAATACAACAATTATCATCACCATTAATACAACAGGCATCATCACCATTAATACAACAGGTATCCTCACCATTAATACAACAGTACAACAGATATCATCACCATTAATACAACAGGAATCCTTACCATTCATACAACAGGTATCATCACCGCTAATACAAGAGGTCTCATCACCATTAATACAACAGGTATCATCACCTTTAATACAACGCGAATCATCACCATTAATATAACAGGTATCCTCACCATTATTAAAACAGGTATACTCACCATTAATACAACAATACAACAGGTATCATCACCATTAATACAACAGATATCATCACCATGAATACAACTGGTATCATCACCATGAGTGCAACAATTATCTTCACCATTAATACAACAACTATCAAAACCACAAATACAACAATTATTCTCACCATGAATACAACAGGTATCCTCACCATTAATACAACAGGTATCATCACCATGAATGCAACAATTATCCTCACCATTAATACAACAATTATCCTCACCATTAATACAACAGGTATCATCACCATGAATAAAACAGGTATCATCACCATAAATTCAACAGGTATCATCAAATTGAATGCAAATATTATCCTCACCATTACTACAACAATTATTCTCACCATTAATACAACAGGTATCATCACCATGAATAAAACAGGTATCATCACCATTAATACAACAGGTATCATCACCATTAATACAACAAGTATCAACACCATTAATACAACAATTATCCTCACCATTAATACAACAGGTATCATCACCATGAATAAAACAGGTATCATCACCATTAATTCAACAGGTATCATCACCTTGAATGCAAATATTATCCTCACCATTACTACAACAATTATTCTCACTATTAATACAACAGGTATCATCAAAATGAATACAACAGGTATCATGACCATTAATACAACAGGTATCCTCACCATTAATACAATAGGTATCATCACCATTCGTACAACAGGAATCATCACTATTAATGCAACAGGTATCATAACCATGAATACAACAATTATCATCACCATTAATACAACAGGCATCATCACCATTAATACAACAGGTATCCTCACCATTAATACAACAGTACAACAAATATCATCACCATTAATACAACAGGCATCCTTACCATTCATACAACAGGTATCATCACCGCTAATACAATGGGTGTCATCAACATTAATACAACAGGTATCATCACCATTAATACAATGGGTATCATCACCATTAATACAAAAGGTATCCTCAACATAAATACAACAGGTATCCTCACCATTAATACAACAGGTATCATCACCATTAATACAACAGGTATCATCGCCATTAATACAACAGGTATCATCACCATTAATACAACAGGCATCATCACCGCTAATACAACAGGTCTCATCACCATGAATACAACAGGTATCATCACCATTAATACGACGGGTCTCATCACCATTAATACAAAAGGTATCCTCACCATTAATACAACAGGTATCCTCACCATTAATACAACAGGTATCATCACCATTAATACAACAGGTATCATCACCATTAATACAACAGATATCATCACCATTAATACAACAGGCATCATCACCATTAATACAACAGGTATCCTCACCATTAATACAACAGGTATCATCACCATGAATAATACAAGTATCATCGCCATTAATACAACAGGTATCATCACCATAAATACAAGAAGTATCATCACAATTAATACTACAGGTATCATCACCAATAATACAACAAGTATCGTCACCATTAATACAACAGGTATTATCACCATTAATACAAAAGGTGTAATCACCATGAATAAAACAGGTATCATCACCATTAATACAACAGGTATCATCCCCATGAATACAACAGATATCATCACCATGAATGCAACAATTATCCTCACCATTAATACAACAAGTGTCATCACCATTAATACAACAATTATTCTCACCATGAATACAACATGTATCATCACCATTAATACAACAGGTATCATCAAAATGAATACAACAGGTATCATCAAAATGAATACAACAGTACAACAGATATCATCACCATTAATACAACAGGTATCCTTACCATTCATACATCAGGTATCATCACCGCTAATACAACAGGTCTCATCACTATGAATACAACAGGTATCATCACCATTAATTCAACGGGTATCATCACCATTAATACAAAAGGTATCATCACCATTAATACAACAGGTATCA